CCGATGGATCCTGAAGAGTCGTCCACTTTGTGAGAGACACCATATTTAGTCATCGCCTCGGCTTAAAGGAGAAAGAAGAAAACAAAAATTAGTGATCAGTTTGAAAATAGCAAAAAGAAAATATATAAATATAGAAACAATGAAAGAAATAGTTTGACGTTTTAGGAAATGCCCATATTTACTTTCTTGCAGTGAGTTATGAGAAGACTGAAAATTACTGTAATTAAATATAATGAAGCTACATTCTGCACCAAGTTAGCTTAGCTTAGTATAAAAACTGGAGAAGTTACAGTTCCCAGCGAAAAAATAGTACATAACGTAAGTTTATCTGTATTTTCCATGCTAGTGTCACAGCTTTAAGCTAAGCTATGCTAAATCCAAGATGGCCCCAGCTTCACAGACAGATATGAGAGTGGTGTCGATCTTCTCATCTAACTCGTGACAACAAAAGGAAAGTATTAAAGTATTTAACCAAAATGTCGAACTATTTCTTTAAACTAAATAATACTGTACTGAAATTTGAAAGTTAGCATCCCCACTCACACAGCTGGTGGACAAATGGCATAAACTCCTGGTTTTGGCTCAAAGGAAGGATGGAACATTTGTATGGAGATACAGTGGCAGGGAAGCTGAAATACTGGACAAGAAATAAATCTTCAATTAAAAACACCAGTGGAACAATAAAAACAAGTAAGTTATTCTCACTTAAAATCTCCTTGCTTGTTATGAAGCATTCTCACCGTCCTCTGTTCATCGCCCTGTCGGACGTGGAAAGAGTGCTCGAAGATGGAGTACATGATTCGGCCGATGCCAAAAGACGGCTCGATTACATTGGGAACAATCTCCTCCACTGTGGGAAAAGAGAGACAGTTGTTTTCTCACATGAACAACTCTCTGTTGTACTCTACAGCTCTGAGGCAGGTTTGGTGTCACCTCTTACCGTGCAACGTTTTCTGGAACCTCTTCACACTGACCATGTCTTTGGTCAGTTTAAATGTCTTGCCAGCTGTCTCGAGGCTGAACTCCCTGCAGACATAACCACAACAATATAATGAAATTAACACTTTGTAAACCTTTTCTTAAGCATCACGAGCGTTATCACTGCGGTCTGAAATTACCCATTTTCACTGAGAAGCTTCTCCTGATCACTGATGTAGCATTCATCGCAGACAGCCAGGTACTCCAGAACCAACTTGGCATCTTTCTTGAAGGCTGTTCCTATGGCTCCCTTGTTGGGCTCAAACTGGACCACATTTACTACTTTGTGTGAAGAAGTTAGGGAGTAAAACCAGTTGGCAAACAAAGGGAACAATCAAGTTCAGTTGAAAAGGGCAGATAGAAAAAGTGCCCCTCCAGTAAAAAATAAGTGTTTCTTCTTGTTCCTGCAGTTGGATGTTTGAGCTTCCCTCTGCACAATGATGTATGTGCAGAGTCTGACGCTACAGGGATGTTTTTAACATTTGTCTGCTGAAAGTGGAAAGTTTCTCTGTGCTCATTATCAATCTGGATTTAGGGGGTCT